GTGAGGGAAGGGCAGCCTTCCTTTTATCTTTATTTTTTTGTCATAGGGTGTGTATGCTCACTGGAGAGAGACAGAGAAGGGAAAATGAGAAATCACCCCCAGGGGGATGGCCAAGCTGCAATCCTCCCCCATTATCCTCTCGAAATTATGGGCATGCACACACATGCCTGGCATGTTTATAAGCTGCAGTATGTGTGCAGTCCCAGGCCTGGGACTTGAACTGCAGTTGGCCACGTGAGTCCAGCGCCTTAACCACCATGCCACCTGCTGGTCCCAGGGCTTCCTTCTCTATCTGCTATGGAAGAACCTATAACTGCCCACCACTGCTTCAGGGCCCTTCCAACTCCCAACCCCTTCACGCAGCATCGAGACCTCAGGTCACATGAAACTGGTGGCAGCACTCATGGCAGCCCCAGTGCCTCTGAATCCCAGCCAGCGCCCTTCAGGTCACCGTATGGCTGCAGGAGGGGTACATACACAGAGCCGCATCTGCACCAGGGACTATCACATCCCAAACACTAGGGCTGGCAGATGGCATGGTAGTTAAGGCGCTGGACTCCCACATGGCTGACCGTGGTTCAGGTCCTGGACCTGGTGGCTTGCTTTCTCGCTTTCCCTTTTTCTCTGTCTCTTTCTGGTCAAATAAAAAAATAATAATAACAAATGAAATTAAATAAATAATTCTTTTAAAGAGATACTTATTTTAGGGGCCAGCAGGTGGCATTGTGGTTAAGGGCTCTGGACTCCCACATGAATGACTGCAGTTTGAGTCCTGGACCTGGCTGCTTGCTTTCTTACTTTCCTTCTCTCTTTCTCTCTCTAAATAAAACTCCCAGAGAGAGAAGAGAGAGAAAGAGAAAGAGAGAAAGAGAGAGGGAAAGTGAGAAAACAAGTCACCAGGCCTGGGACTTGAACCATGGTCAGCCTGTGGGAGTCTAGCATCTAACATGCCACCTGCTGGCCTCTACATTTTTTTTTTAATTAAAGCATAAGTTTGTCTTGTTACAAAACAAAAACTTAAATCCATGCATGTATTCTTTTTTAAAATTATAACACACATACATATATATATATTTAAATAACTATTTAATTTTATTTATTATTTTAAAATTTGCTCCAGGACACATGCACTCACCAGAGAGACAGGCAGACAGAAGAACCAGAGAGGGAAAGTGAGATAGGAAGCCACCAGGTCCAGGACTCTAAACAGGGTCAGCCATGTGGGAGTCCAGTGTCTCAATCAGTATACCATCTGCTGGCCCTTTAATTACAGTATATTTTATAACTTACCTACTTTTTTGTTAGGTTTTCGCCATAGGGTGAAATTGCTCATGGGAGACAGAGAGACAGAGACAAAGAGAGAGGGATAGTGAGAAGTTACCCCTGGGACGATGGCCACTCTGTAGTTGTGGTCAGCCATGTAACCACCCCACCTGCTGGTCCCCTTTTTAAAAACTGTATTATTATTGGAGCACCAGCAAGTGGTGTGGTGAAGGTGGTGTACTCCCACATGGCTGACCATGGTTTGAGTCCCAGACCTGGCTGCTCACTTTGTCTCTCTCTCTTACTCTCTCTGGTGAGCATATGTGTTGTATAGAAAAATGTGAAAAATAATATTAAAATAAATTTTTAAAAGAATTATTTAATTTTATTTATTCCTTCATTTATTTTAATTTGATGAGAGAGAAAGAAAAACTGAGAAAACAAGTCGCCAGATCCAGGACTTGAACCATGGTCAGCCATGTGGGAGTGTCCAGTGCCTTAACCACCCCACCACCTGCTGGTCCCAATAAAACAGAATTTTAAAATTTTATTATTATTATTTTAATTCACCAGAGAGAGACCAGAGAGAGAAAGTGAGAAAGCATGCTGCCAGGACTGGGACTTGAACTGCAGAGAGCCATGTGGGAGTCCAGCGCCTTAACCACCATGCCATATGCTGGCCAATGATGACCCTTTTTAAAAAAAATTTGTCAAAGGGTGCCTGTGCTTGCCACAGAGACAAGAGGTAGAGCGGGAACGGGAGAGTGCACGCTCTATGGGGAATGACCAGGCAGTAATCCCCTCTCCATCCTTTTGGGTTTTAGGGCATGCATACATGCATGTGCCTGGCATGTTTCGCAAGCCACCAGGACCGGGACTTGAACCATGGAGCAGGCTATGTGGGATACGGCTGCCTTAACCATCAGGCCATGGACTGGCCTAGCAAAGGCATCTTTCCACCTGCCGTGGCTAGCATCAGGGCTGAGCCTGGAGCTGCCTCTCTTGGAGAGCTTGCCAGAGAGAGGACACAGGACAGCAGGGCCAGACGGCCGATTCCCGACGGGGTGCCAGAACCTGGATCTGGCTGCCTTGACTGGATTGCTCACTGGGTCAACCAACACTGCTGGGTTTTTTGGGGGGAGGTTTTTGCTATAGGGTGCGTGAGCTTGCTGGAAAGACAGAGAGACAGACAGAGACAGAAGGTGAGAAATCAATCCCCAGGGTGGATGGCCATCCCATAATCCCTTCTCCTCCATTCTCTTCTTGGGATCTTGGGCATGCACACACAGTGCCTGCCAACTACTGGTCCCAACGTGCTGTTTTAACTCACCTGGGTTTCTTAGTTAGGAGTCGGGCACACTGGTGATCAGACAGCTGAGTTGGGGTGGCTAGACTAGCAGACATGCCTGAGCCTTATCACATCCGCTTTGTGGTGCTGCTACTGCTCCTGCAAGTGGCCGCCGGGGCCCGGGGACCCTTTTTAAAAACTGTATTATTATTGGAGCACCAGCAAGTGGTGTGGTGAAGGTGGTGTACTCCCACATGGCTGACCATGGTTTGAGTCCCAGACCTGGCTGCTCACTTTGTCTCTCTCTCTTACTCTCTCTGGTGAGCATATGTGTTGTATAGAAAAATGTGAAAAATAATATTAAAATAAATTTTTAAAAGAATTATTTAATTTTATTTATTCCTTCATTTATTTTAATTTGATGAGAGAGAAAGAAAAACTGAGAAAACAAGTCGCCAGATCCAGGACTTGAACCATGGTCAGCCATGTGGGAGTGTCCAGTGCCTTAACCACCCCACCACCTGCTGGTCCCAATAAAACAGAATTTTAAAATTTTATTATTATTATTTTAATTCACCAGAGAGAGACCAGAGAGAGAAAGTGAGAAAGCATGCTGCCAGGACTGGGACTTGAACTGCAGAGAGCCATGTGGGAGTCCAGCGCCTTAACCACCATGCCATATGCTGGCCAATGATGACCCTTTTTTAAAAAAATTTGTCAAAGGGTGCCTGTGCTTGCCACAGAGACAAGAGGTAGAGCGGGAACGGGAGAGTGCACGCTCTATGGGGAATGACCAGGCAGTAATCCCCTCTCCATCCTTTTGGGTTTTAGGGCATGCATACATGCATGTGCCTGGCATGTTTCGCAAGCCACCAGGACCGGGACTTGAACCATGGAGCAGGCTATGTGGGATACGGCTGCCTTAACCATCAGGCCATGGACTGGCCTAGCAAAGGCATCTTTCCACCTGCCGTGGCTAGCATCAGGGCTGAGCCTGGAGCTGCCTCTCTTGGAGAGCTTGCCAGAGAGAGGACACAGGACAGCAGGGCCAGACGGCCGATTCCCGACGGGGTGCCAGAACCTGGATCTGGCTGCCTTGACTGGATTGCTCACTGGGTCAACCAACACTGCTGGGTTTTTTGGGGGGAGGTTTTTGCTATAGGGTGCGTGAGCTTGCTGGAAAGACAGAGAGACAGACAGAGACAGAAGGTGAGAAATCAATCCCCAGGGTGGATGGCCATCCCATAATCCCTTCTCCTCCATTCTCCTCTTGGGATCTTGAGCACGCATGCACATGTTCCTGGCGTGAATTTTAAGCCACCGGGTCTGGGATTTGAACTGCGGTCGACGACATGGGAGTCTAGTGACGTAGCCATTATGCCAACTACTGGTCCCAACGTGCTGTTTTAACTCACCTGGGTTTCTTAGTTAGGAGTCGGGCACACTGGTGATCAGACAGCTGAGTTGGGGTGGCTAGACTAGCAGACATGCCTGAGCCTTATCACATCCGCTTTGTGGTGCTGCTACTGCTCCTGCAAGTGGCCGCTGAGACCAGGGCACTGGCAGGAGACGGGCGAGGCAGGCGCGGGGTCGTCAGGAACGGCCTCGGGTCCTAGTCTGGAAAGGATTCTGGACAAGATATCCAGAGAACCAGACCCTACTCCCACCTGCCATCTCTCTGAGCCAAGACCTGGGCCCGCCACTCCACTGCGGGCCTCGCTCCTCTGCCCAGTGGGCTGACATACAGGGGTGTAGGACTTGGGGAAGTCACTGAGGCGAGCTTCGCCCAGGAAGCTGAACGTAGGGGTCTACTCCAGGGTCACTTGCAGTCCCATGGATGTGACCAGGAGCAGATGCCCAGAGGTTTGCCGAGCATGTGGGAACGAAGGCTGCCTGGTGGCCGTAAGCAACACAGGTTGAATGCAGGGCTCCCGGCCTGTCACACTCACGACCCTGCTCGCTTCTCTGGGTTATGGGAAAAGGCTCTTCCAAGAACCATCAGGCCTATAAATTCCATGAACACAGCACTGCTGTGCGGCAGCTGAGCAGGAAGGAGTCGCCTTCCTTTCTCATTTAACAAGCATTTCGTGACACACCCCTCTAGATACCAGGGGAGGGGAGATGAGAATGGTGGGTCCCTGCCCCGAACAATCAGCCTGGACAGGGCCATACCAGACGCAGCCTCTGTGCCCCCTCTCCACAGCAGCCAGAATGACCTCTCCAACAGGAAGTAGACCCAGCTCCAACCCCGCAGACCTTCACGAGGTCCAAGTGATGGAGGTGGACGAAGAGGTGAGGTTCTAAGGGCTCGTGGGAAACCCTCAGGGCTGCCATCAAGCTGGGTGTCTGCCCCGGTCCCAAGATCAGCCTGGGGGTCTGGGCAGGGTGGGAGTGAGGTCTCAAGGCAAAGGCGCTGGCTCCAACAGCAATATAGCCGCAGACTGCAGGGTCCGTGACAGTGCAGTGTCCTGTGAGAAACACTTTATTCGAGGCCTCACGGCCGAGGCGGAGCATAAGCACACGCGCACCCACACACAACACACGGAGGCATTTCACAGGCACGGGGATCGGGGGAAGGTGGGAGGCCACGTCGGCAGCTCAGGATTTCTGACACGGTGGAGAGGCCTCTGATGGGGACACTCCCTGGAATTCTTGCATGAAAGCTCTAAGGAAAAGTCCACTCCCAGTGAAGTCCCAGGCCATAAAACACAGCAGACTTTGAGAAATCTGGGTCGGGGGCCCAAGGAACATGTGTCCTCACCCTAGCAACCGTGTCAGCTCTGTTTCCCTGGGGCCCCACCCAGCTCTGCCACCCAGAAATGTCCTAGCGGGTGATGGGGGAGGTAGCACCACAGCAGCCTGGGCAGGGTGGGCTGCTGCATGGGAGGAAGCAGAGGGCCAGAAGGGCTGAAGGGCTGCCATGAGGCAGGCTTCCTTCTAGGGCATGTACCCAACGGGGAACTCGATGTGGGGACCTTTCCACGTGGCCCCGGCTCAGAGGGCCTCTGACAGAGGAGGTGAAAGGCCCCAGCTGGAGTCTCCCACGACCCCCTGGGAGCTGAGGCCTCTCCAGCTCCACCTTGCGGCCAACTGCTGCAGGGCCTTAGCACCATGTAGGAGCTGTGGAGAAGGGACGGGGGACAGTACAGGGCCAGGACTGTGTCACTAGTCTGGAGAACCCAGAGTTGGCAGAAACCTGGACAACTGGCTGGTATGTGGTGCGAGGGGCTTTCTGGGGTGGGGAGGTGGAGTGTCACATCAGCCCCAGCTCCCAGGTGGCAGCCACTTGCATCTCCTGCTCCCCACGCTGGCCAAAGTCCGGCACGAAAGCTCCTGGTTTCACCAGAGATTTCTGGAGCCTGGGAGGGGCCCCAAACTGACCTTTAGAGGCAAGAAAAACACTGGGGCCTCTGAACAGGTGGCCCGGAAGGGACGGGCAGGGGAAAAGTCATCCTCCAAACTACAGCCCTATAAGACCCCTGCCTCGTCGTCTTGACCTACAGGGCCCATGACACAGGGGAGAGCAGGGCTCGTCTGCACCCACAAGGCTGTCTGTGGGCCTATCCTGCCTCGGGCCTGCACAGTCTCCAGTGTAAGCCAGGAGGACAGAGCCATGGCTGCCGATGGGCAGGCGCAGTGGGCCAGGCCGGCAGGCCTGGGTATGGGCAGACACTAGTTTTCCAAGGTAGTCGCATCTTTCGGAATGAGTTGCCTTTGTGTTGGAATCTGGCCCAAGGGCGACGCCACTGTTTTCGGTGACCTGTAGTTTGAGAAGAAACAGTGCCGGGTCAGTGCGTGGGCAGCTCTTCCAGGGCCCTGGGGGGCAGGCAGGGCAGCTTTCCTGCACCCAGGCCTACAGTGAGCAGGGTACAACGCGGGGCACTCGGCTTCCCCCAACCCTGCAAGATAAAGAACAGCACCCCCACTTCACACGCAAGGAAAGTAGTCCCGGAAGTTTAAGGGCTAGGCCTAGAGGAGAAAAGAAATTTAAGAGGTCTTTATTTTCTGGATGGTCTTACCACATCTCAATCCTTCCTGCCAGAGCCTCCCAGGGCACAGGCTGTTAAGGTGGGCAGCGACTGGGCCTGGTGCCCAGTGGCCTCAGCC